ATTAAATAAACATTTTTCTTTGATGAATACAGCTTATTAGGAGAGATGTATCTAAAAATATATTTAAAAGTATGGTTTTTGTTGTTTTTAAAATATTTTTTATTTAAAAATATATTAAAATAATATTTTTTTTATTTTAAAAAATTATTTTTAATATTATCACATCAAAATATTTGAAAACAATAAAAAATATTAATTTATAATAAAAAAAATTAAACCTTTTTAAAATACAAAGATAAACAGTAGGCGTATATTTCCTATAATTAGGAAGTGGCAATCTCCTTGTTTTCTTCCCTGGAAATCAAGTCTCCTAGCAGGCAACGCATTATTTTCCAAAAACAACGTGTAATGTCACTATGGAAGCCAAAATTTATTGCATGTACAGGTTCAATTTAATAATATTCGTGCAGTCACTAAAGTCAAATGACAGCACACAGAACTATCTCATTGGGAATCCCCTCTTCAAAGTGGCTAAGCTTTCGGTGATTGTCGGTTGGATCATCCATGGATATCCTTCTGACGGCCGCTGCCTTCAAGCTGTGATCATTAAAAAAAAAGGGGGGGAGCGAGCACATAGAAAGTTCCCTATAAGACTGGAAAAAATCCGTACGGATGTTCTACTGCAATGTCATTAAGATGTTTGTAATTAGCTTGTGCGCTCCCGTCAAAACATATAGCATATGCACATCGATTTCTGTGTAATTTCATTTCTTGTTTTGTATGGAAATTGAACAGTTCATCTGTACTTTTATACAGGCAGCATCTTCAGAGCAAAATGAGTATTATACAATGTAGAGCTTGTATATGTTAGAATAAAAAATTAATATAGAATTATTTTAATATTGTAATCCTTATAGTTATTGTTATGTTCTGCCGTATATATATGAATAGAAAGATTGGCTAAGACACAATTTAACACATTCTATTATTCTCAACTTAATATTAGAGCTACAAAACCCTAAAAATAATTAACCTACTTTTCTTACAGTCAACAACCTTCTCACAACCTCTTTTCTTCAGTAGAACAGCCGCCACACACATCTTTTTCCTTTGCAATACCAGCAATCCAGCCTTCTTCTCCAGCAATGCAACCTTTTTTCCCTGCAGCGCCTCCTCTGTTCTTCTTTGCTGCCTCACCGCCTGAATTCTCCTTTGTCATGGCTTGTGAATGCCTCCTTTTGCAGCCCATGTCTGATGTAGTTGTTGTCTCTGCTGCCGCAAGCATTATCTCCCTCTCTTACACTCATCAAGTCATCTCTCTTAAATTAACAAACACCAATTATTTATATTGGCGTATGTAGATGCTGTTGTATCTTCTAGGTCAAGGAGTTTTTGATTTTGTTGATGGCTCCAACACATGTCTATCTTCACATGTTCTTGTCGGACATGGTATCTCTTTTTAGGTAAATCTGCTCTTTCTTCGCTGGAAACAATAGGGCCAACTTATTTTGAGTGCTCTTCTTTCCTCCCTATCTATGGAAGTTTTGCATCTTGTTGTTGGCTGTCAAAGCTCTTTTTCATCTTGGTACACTCTTAAGCAAGCTCTTACTTCCACATCCAACTCTTGTATTATGCAACTTCATGGCTCTCTTCAGGATCTTCGACAGGGTGATGAATCAGTAACTCAATTTATGCAAAAAGCTTATGCCTTATTTGATGAATTGGCTGCTGCTAGTCGGCTAGTTTCGCTTGAAGATTTTAATTTATATGTGTTTCATGGTCTTCGGGGAGAGTTTAAAGACTTAGTTACAAGTCTTATTACCAAGGCCGAACCTTTATCATATGCAGATCTTCACAGTCATCTCCTCACACATGAAGTTCTTCACAAATCTTTGGCTGCCATACATGCTCCTCTGCTGCCCACACCCAGCACTCCATCATCTGCCTTTGTTGCGCAGCGCCAGACCTTTGGCAATTCTGGCTGCAGCAGGGGCTGCTCCAACGATGGCTGGTGTCCCAACTAGTCCAGTAGCAGAGGCAATTGATTTGCTGGCCCCAGACCTGATCACCGCAGCTTCTAGAACTCCTCCTTCGGTGACAGTCGGCAGGGCTCATGGCAGCGCAATAGGGGGCAGAATCCATGCTGTCAACTGTGTCAAAATTTTAGCCATACAGCTCTCCACTGTCCTCAATTCCAGCAGTAAGGTTATGGCCAATAGCCTACTGCCAATCTGGTGCAGCGCAATCTCTCCTCAATAGGTTCTATTGATTGGTTTCCAGATACCGGTGCCAATCAACACGTCACACTTGATCTTGCCACCTCGACTACTTTAGAACCGTATCTTGGTAATGATAATTTGCATGTTGGTGATGGTAAGGGCCTCCCTATATCTCATCTCGGTCATACAAAAATATATACACCACATCATTTTTTCACCTTATCTAATGTTCTTCATGTTCCTGCAATCACGAAACCTCTACTCTCTGTTCATAAATTTTATCTTCATAATAATGTTTATTTTGAATTTCACCCTTGTGTGTTTTATGTTAAGGATCTCAACACCCATGAAGTCCTTCTCTTAGGTTAGAATAAAGATGATCTCTATGCCCTGATCAAGTCTTCCCTTATGTCAGTTCCTCAAGCCTATTGGTCTCCTTGCACTTTTGCCTCTGCCGATTTATAGCATCGTCAACTATGTCATCCTACTACATGTATTTTTCAATTGTTAATCTTGAAAAATAAGATAATTTGTAACAACAAACATTTTAATTTTCAATGTCAAAGTTGTCCTTTAGGAAAATCATCGCGTTTGTCTTTAGAACCTACGGGTCACAAAACTTTTGCTCCGCTTGAATTAATTTTTAATGATGTATGGGGCTCTGCTCCTCTTTTTTCTTTAGGTGGCTATCGCTATTTTATTATCTTTGTTGATGCTTATACTAAATATATATGGTATTATCCTCTCGTTGCCAAGTCTGATGTTTACTATGTTTTTCTTCAATTTCAGACTCTCATTGAATGTCAATTTTCATTAAAAATAAAATCTATTCAAATTGATTGGGGCGGTGAATATCGAAAATTATCCACATTTTTTCAGACTATTGGTATTCATCATCGTCTGATTTTTCCTCACACTCATGAATAAAATAGTACAGTAGAGCGTCGTCATAGGCATATTATGGAATTAAGTCTTACATTTTTAGGGCAATGTAAAGCACCTTTTCGATTTTGGAATTATACTTTTGAAACCTCTGTTTATCTTATAAATCGCATGCCTACTCTTGTTCTTGCCCATCGCTCTTCGTTTGATTGTTTATTTCACTGGTCTCTTGATTATCATTTTCTGCGTACTTTTGGGTGTCTCTGTTTTTTTTTTCTGCGTCCATATAATAATCATAAATTGGATTTTTGTTCCTCTTCATATGTGTTCTTTGGATATAGTTCCTCCCATCTTAGTTATTGATGTTTTGACATTGCATCTCACTGTATTTATATTTCTCGTTATGTTCGTTTTCATGAATATATGTTTCCATTTGATAATTCTGAACAGATTACAAAGGTTTCCACCACAACCCCTATCCCACCCGATATTGTCACCCTCCCAAACTTGTTAAACCACCCTCTACCACCCACTTCTACCAGCCACCCAAACAGCCTAGATCACTTAGCTCTGTAACTCTAAACAGCCACCAAAATAAGAATTTAAATAAGAATTTAGCGCAAGAACGATGCATATATAGATAGAGAGTTGTTTATAAATATATATGTTACTGAACAATACAAAGGATATATGCACTTATATTTAACAAAGATTTTGATTTAGGTACGATGTCCTTCGCAGAAAAGAACATAGACGATAACTTGATTGTCGTCATGCATGGAGAATATATTAGTATGGGGAGATTTATGTCTGTAGCTAGCTAAGCTAATAAATGAGAAGATGATGACAAGTCAAAGATTCAAGGTATATTCCATTTCGGCTGTTTTTCTTAGATATATCCAAGTTCCATTGAATTTTGATTATGATTTGTTAACCGATTGGTACATTCCCAAAAGAGAGGTTTAATTAAGGTGGCTAGCTCATTCTAACAATTAACAAAAAGAAAACAAAAAACAATTCTTTACACGTACATTATTTATTTTTATTTATAAATTACTCTCTTATTCAATATGGAATTGTATGCCAGTAAATTAAAAAAAAAATCATTCAATAAACTTTGATATTTTATTTCAATGTAAAAACATCAACTTGCTTTTAAACTCTTGATTTAAGAGGTGATTTCAGCACTGCTCAATATTTTTTCTATTAATATTCTTACATATTAATTTTTTTGGGTTTCTGAAAGACCCCAGATTTGTTTTCAAAAATTTATGGCTTTCTTGAACCTCACCGCCAACTACACAAAAATTTCGTGGAAATTTGAGTTCAAGTGGCTCTCTCTGCACTCTTATCTCTTGGTTGATTATTTTTTAAGTAGGCTTTTGGTTTTCAATGCACGCACGCACCTACTGGCGTGCACCATCTTTCTTTTAGTCAGGCCTTTTCCATCATGACTCATAATCACACAATCGTTCTAATTTCTTCATTAAAGGAGAGATAATTATCGAGAAAGTCATTTTCGCAGCATAACATCTTCAATTTCGTAGCTAGGGAGAGGGGGGAAAGAATTCATTCACAAGATCAAAATAAAAAATAAAAATGGAGTACAAATACAAACTCATCCATATGATCAATCATATCTGCATTTTCAATTATTGCTGGAAAAAAATATTTGAAATTAATGAACATACAAATTACAAGTATGGTTCTTGAACAAAATATACGTGCAACTTAAAAAACAAGACATCATTGATTACATGATGGCACAGTCAACATTGCTCGATACTTACTTTGAACTATCTAGTTTCCCTCTTAATTATTTGTAGCATCTTTTATTTCTTACATTTGCAGGGAAAAAAAAATCTGAATGAAGAATTGATCGTTAACAAAAATTAACAAATAAAAGAATTTGATGCTTTTTTAATTGATTAAGTCATGATGCATGTGGTTTTGTATGCGTATGTTTGCTTCATCTTGATTTCTCGTCAGTAATAATTCTTCATGAAATATGTACGGTGCTTGTGTGTTTCTTCTGCATCCACTTCGATCAAATTATGCACAACCGCATCCATTGCTGTCGTTAAGAATTGAGACCAATTCCTGCGTTAAGAAAAACTCAAGATTAGTTATGTATTAGACACACACACACACACACACACATATAAATCAAACATCAAAACATAATTTAGCGGTATGAACTAACAAAATGATAATGGTAGTAGAGTATTTTAGTTTTAAATTATGAATTATCTATGGAAGTACCTTTCATTCAACATTTTGTGCTACAAATCAAGAATGGTATAGTATACATACCCTTCAAGTGTGTCAAATGTAAGTCCAACGGTGTACTTTGCCTCTTCGAGAGCATATGTAAACCTTCGCAGCTCTTCGCCAGGACAAATCCCGTTATCCTTGACATGGAGCTGAGACGGTTTGACATCACAGAATATAGGTATAACTCTTTTCTTTGTCTCCATTAATAAAGCCAGTTCATGGAGACAAAAGTATGACTCACAATAACGGGGAGAAAATACAGCAACCCCAACCTTACATTCATGGATAGCTCTATCAATGTTGTCAAATAGTTTGTCACCAGGTCTCATGTTCTTGCTATCCAAAAATGGATGGAGCCTGAGTCTAGAAAGATGATCAAAGAGCAACCCAGAAATGGTCCTCTTCGTGTCGATGCACCGATGATTAATGAAAACATCACAGGGTGGTCTTTTAAGGGATTGGATTTGGTTATGGTGGTTCAAGATTTTACGACATAAGTTCTTGGCTGTTGATGCTGAACGCTGCTGCATGGCTTGATGAAGAAGCTGAGGGAAAAAAATGATAATTTGGGTACAATAAAGAACTCGATTGTTTTGTATTATTTTTTATTTTCTACATGTCCTTGCTCTACCGGCGGGATCGAACATTTATAGGTGACAGCGTGAAAGGGTAGAAAGACTGAATTTCATTTTTGTTTGATTTCAAGGCATAGAATTCCAAATTCGGACCGACTACTCATGAGAAAATACCTGGTACTTGTCGAGGCAAGACACAGCAAAAAAGAAGTAAAAATATTTAAATTATTTGACTCTCGTCTACCTGAAAAAACCTTCAAACACGTTTATTTATTTTATTTTATTTTATTTTTAAGATCGCTGACATGGTCACTCTTAAAAGGGGTTGTGAATACATATTTTTCTGTTTCCTTTTTTTGGAACGATTATCTATAAAAGGGTGAATTTCTTTCGGCCCCATCACAGCACATCTTTGTTTTGGTCCCCGACCACGAAAACTTTTTTTTTATTTTTTAATTGCTTGGATCTCCGTTACTTTGATGTCATTCTCATCAACATGTATGCCTAAACTTCGGCTGTTCTTCAATTTCTATTTGTTTGGTGATTTAAAATTGAAGTATAATATTTTGTGATTAATAATTTAATGACTTTTACCCTTTAGTAAATTGCAGCTGATCTTCCTAGCTCTTTTCACCTACCTTCGTATTCTAATTGTTCAGAAGAGTTTATACTTCGCAGTCTTGTTGGACATATCATGATGATAATTAATTATAATAAGTTTCTATACCATAATATATATTTTATGGAATGCAGCGTGACACACAGAAGTCTTCATTTTTTAAAATGAAGTAATAAAGTAAAGTATCGTGGAACACAAAATCCAAATGGTCAAGAAATGTAGTTTCTTTTTCACGTAGAGCAGGGTGTACGTATAAATTTCCATTACTAAATATTGCAGAAATTAGATTTTCAAAATAGTAATTGATCCGTGCATATAATTTGTTCCAGGAACGATAATGCCCTAATTGTTCAGGAGGTCATTCGCCATATGCACAGGTCAAGGAATGAAATTGGTGTTTTGGTAGCAAAGATTGACATGGAAAAGATTTGTGACAGAATAGATCGAGATTCTTTACAGGCGACCTTAGAAGACTTTGGTTTCCCTAATATTACGGTTCAGCTTATCACGTTTTGTGTAGAGCCTTCCTCTCTTACTCTTCTCTGGAATGGTTCCAAGCTGCCATCTTTTGCTCGTGGCCTTCACAAGGGTGATTTGATGTCTCTTTATATATATATATATATATATATGCATGTATGTATGTAAAGTTTGGATTAGTTTATATGCATTTTAATAAATACTTTGAGGTTTTAGAGTTAATAACTAGTTAAATTTATAATAGTTTTGAAATTTATAACATTTAAATTAATAATTTTTAAATAACAAATTTCAAATCAAAATCTTACTAATTGAATTACATTTATCATGATTCTATGTATCTCCCTACTTGTTTGTTATTTGCATGGAGAAATTGGCTAGAGTAATTAGGGCAAAACAATGGAAACCAGTGCGCACATATCTAGAGGAGGACATGGTATCCCCACTCATTTTGCGTGGTTGATGTTTTGCTTTTCTCTAAGCCCAAAAGTCACGGGTTAATTACAGTCATCGTGAACACTCTTTCCGGCCTTCCATGCATAATAATAGTCAACTCTCAGAAATCAAGGGCCATACGCTCCAGATGTGCAAGTAGCCATCCATCTCATACGTGATCGATGGTGTATCTCTTTTTCATAAGTTTAATCAGTTCCCTCATCATGGATATTGAAGGAGACGTTGAGGGGACCATGGGAGATTGATATTCTACATTCGCTCAGGGAAGTAAACTCATGTGCTGATTATTTTATAAAAAAAATATTCAAGCGGAAGGCATGTATTGATTATGTTCATTATATATTATATATATAGGATACCTTAAAGTTTTTTTACAAATCCGGAAACTAACGAGGAATGATAGCTAATTAAGTAAATTGATACAGTATATTCTAATATATCTTTTCTAATTATATCAAGATACAGTTTTTCTAAATATATCAAGATATATTGTCAATATAATTTCAAACACTTCCCCTCAAGTTGAAAAATGAATATCAATAACTCATAACTTGCACATGAGCTGTTTGAACTTCTATTTGCTCAAAACTTGTGTAAACACATTTGCTAATTGTTGTGAAGAAATCATATATTGAGTAACAATTTCACTTTGTAAAATTTTATCCCAAATAAAATGGCATTCCATTTTAATACATCGAGTTCTTTCATGAAACACGAATATTTTGCAATGTGTAAGGCAACTTGATTATCACAATGCAAAGTAATAGGGCTTGAAACATGCATATATAAATCTATTAATAAATATCATAGCTAAGCAAGCTCACAACATGTTCCTGTCATTGCTCTGTATTCAGCTTCTGCATTTGATAAAGAAAAGGTCTTTTACCTCTTGGTCTCCATGAGATTAAGAAATTTTCAAGGAATACACAATAACCAGTGGTAAAATGACGAGTGATAGGACAACCTGCCCAATCAGAGTCATAAAATGCCCTTAAATTTAATGGGTTATGTGAATGAAGCAGCAAACCTCGATCAAGAGCTGATTTTAAATAACAAACAACTTGAAGAGCAGCAGCCATGTGAGGTTGACGTGGTTCATGCATAAATCGGCTGAGAATGTGAACTGAATATGTGATGTTAGGTCTAATGATAGTTAAGTAAATCAATCGACCAACTAGACGCTGATATGCATAAGGATCCTTGAGCAATTCTCCCTTATTTGAAAGTCTGTATTCTTTCATAGGAAATTCAACTGGCTTAGTACCCAAGTATCCATTGTCTTTAATAATTTCCGAGGCATATTTGCATTGGAAAATGTAAATCTCTTTCTTAGAACGGGCTATTTTAATGCCTAAGAAAAATTTCAGATCACCAAGGTCTTTGATATAGAAATGAGTATGAAAAAACTATTTTAAAGCCTTGATGGACTCAATGTTGTTTCCGGATATCAAAATATCATCCATGTAAATCAATAAAATTGTAAGAGATGTACCATCTTTTTGAATAAACAAGGAATAATTGGCTTTGGATGGTGAAAAACCAGCAACAAGAACCTCTGTGAACTTAGAAAAGCACTATCAAGAGGCTCGTTTAAGGCCATACAATGATTTGTGAAGGTGATACACAATGTTCCCCCTATCGCCAAAGACCAAAAGGAGGAGACATATAGATTTCTTCCAACAAATCACCATTTAAGAAAGCATTATTAACATCCAATTGATGTAAAGGCCAATTCAGACTGGCAGCAATAGCAAGAAGGCGGCTAACAGTTACTATTTTGGCGGTGGAAGAAAAGGTGTCATGGTAATCAATGTCAGCAGTTTATGTACAACCTCGAGCAATAAGGCGAGCCTTATAGAGCTCAACAGATCCATCGGCCTTACGCTTGATGTGATACATCCATTTACAACTAATCAGGTGTTTGCCAAGAGGTAAAGGGATGAGACTCCATGTCTGATTATCAATAAGGGCTTGAAGCTTATAATTCATAGCTTCCTGCCACTTAGGATCAACCACAGCAATATCATGCAAAGTGGGTTCCTCATCATGACTAACATTGGCAACATAATAGAGATGTAAATGGGAATACTAATTATAAGAGATAAAGTGACAAAGAGGATATTTCGTACCTGGTGTGGATGTGGACGAGGCCAAGAACAATTGGTGTGGAGGTAGAATCACTTGTGAGCAAACATATTCCTTAAAACGGACGTTGGCTTCTCAAAAGCAGTAAGAACGATGAAGTGGTTAATTAAGAATGATCAGAAGGGGATAAAAAAGGACAGGGTCGTCCGGATGAACATCTGCTTAATGTGCAGCAGGTGGAATAGATGGAGCAGAAAGAGGTGGTTCAGGAAGAGAGGGTATTGAGTCGTTTGGCACAAGTGAAGGGGACACAGATTTAGTAATGAGGGAGTTGAAAAGGTTGGTGATGGATGTTAAAAGAGGAAGATTGGGAAAAAGATCAGATATGAAAGGAAGAGGAATGGGCAGGGCTAGTGGATTTTGTGTTGTGGGGTTGACTTGTGGTGAATGATAAAAGGTATCTTCAAGAAAAATTACATCCCGATTAGTAAAAAAGTTTAAGTTGTAATATTGTAAAGTTTATAAGCCTTTTGTCCTATAGGATAACAAAAAAAAAAATACATATGGTAACACGTGGAGAAAATTTAGAAGATGGATTGACTACGATTGCAAAAACAATATGGCTAAAAACTCGCATACGAGAATAATCAGGAAGTTTATTATAAAAAATCTCAAAAGGTGTTTTTTTGTGGAGCAACAAGGTAAAAAGGCAATTAATAACATATATAGCAGTAAGAATACATTCTCTCTAGAAATTAATGGGTAAATGAGATTAAAAATGAAAAGCTCAAGCAGTTTCAAGGATGTGTCTATGATTCTACTCAACAACCCCATTTTGCTGAGGTGTATATACACAAGAGTGTTAAAAAAAATGCCTTCCTTAAGGAGAAATTTTTGTAATGAAAGAAATTCAATCTCATTATCAAAATGAAGTTGTTGAACTTTTGTATTGAATTGAATGTTAACATAATGAAAAAACTAACGGAGTAGAGTTTCTATCTCATTCTTATGACGTATTAAGAAAACTCATGTAAATCGAGAAAAATCATCCACAATAGTCAAGATATTAAAAGCATAAAAAAGATAAGGGGTTCTATAATGACCCCAAATATTATAATGAATAAGAAAAAAACACTTCGAAGTTGAAATTGAACCAGAAGGAAAAGTGAGTTATTTTTGCTAATGGAAAAGTATCATATTTATGACTGGAATCAAAATTGAATTTAAACAAATTATTAGCTAAAAATTGAACTAGAAGGAAAAGTGAGTTCTTTTTGCTAATAGAAAAGATGTCCTAATCGACGATACCAAAGATTGGATGAAATGATCAAATTTCAAGCAAAATGAGATGAAGAAGGAGTTTAAGCCAACGTCATAAGGTAAGATAGGTCGCCACGTCACTTACCTACACCAATCATCGTCTTCATAGCCAAGTGCTGCAGAATACACCA